CTACTGACTTTGCATGCAATCGATTACATTGTTAATGCAATTGATTGCACTCTTAAAGATTTTGAAAAAATAGCTGTTAAAAACCTTGTGCAATCGATTACACTAAGGGTGCAATCGATTGCATACTGCACGAATTTGAAAAATAACATCTTTGTTCATGCCTTTTGATCATGCCTTTTCATTACATCTTTTCACTCAAACTTGGCATTTGTTCATGATACATTTCCAGATCTTCATGATGTTTCAAAAAGGTGTTATGAACATATAAATATTCAATTTCAAATCCAGATCTAACACCTTCTTCCAATAATATTTTTTGAACTTTCAAAATACAAACTCAAGCATTCTTCATTTTCATACATAAGTTTTATGCATTTATTTTCATACTTTAAATAGAAAACTTTGAGCAAATATATCTTGAGTCTTTGTACAATATTATTATTGAAAGAAGAAGATTATACATTGTCAAATCACTCTTAGTGATCAATATTACTCTACTCACTCAAAATCACAAATTGATATTCACTTACTTATTTTACAGGATTGTTGGAATTAAGTTTAAGTGTTTTTATTGAAATCTTGTCTTTCCAAGTTGTTGGATACAAGTGTAGTTACATTGAGAGGATTGTTCTCATAGGTAACTTAATGAAAATCCAAGAGGATTGTTCTTGGTCCAAGAGGATTGTTCTTGGTGGTTTTATTGGTTAGAGTCTTGTATAGAAGGACTAGGGTGTCTTGTCTAGAGATCTAATAATAAGGAAATCTCTTTCATGTTGAAAGGGGACTGGAGTACTCTCGGACTGTGAGGGGAACCAGGATACATCTTTGTGTTCTTTACTTTTCCGCATTTACCGTTTTCATCACTTGTCATAAACTAGAAAAGAAAGAAACACAATTGTAAACTCATGCACTAAACCAGAAAAATAATATCCATCATCACTAAAAACCAGAATTTTTAAAGTACCTAATTCACCCCCCTCTTAGGCGCACTCTCATACTTACACCATCTTCATAAATTCGAAACTCCTTGCTCAAGTATGATAAATTCATGCTCTTGGACTTTTTGGAAAGCTTGAAACATTAAATACAACTTTCATGTTGAACACTTTCTTTGAATATATTGGGATCTTATAGAAAATGGCTATAAATTCAACTACTTAATAATGTCAGAATGCTGGAAAATTTTCTCAGTGTTTGAGACTTTGACAATTTTGAGATGCTAACTTCAATAATTCATATATCCAAATCTATGCATTTTTTGAATATCAACCCCATTTAAAAAGTTGTAGTACGAATCATGATCTACCATTTCCATTTTGAAAGTTTTCTTTGAATCAACTTGTATCTTGGTGAAACTTGCTTGTAAAGTTAGGGCTTTTTAAGTGTAAAAACACTTGACTTTTCCAAGTGTCCAAACCTTCATCTTTGACTTTTATTGAATTTTCTTGATTCTCTTTATTCTTGATGCTCAAGTTTGATAATTTTGAATGTTTTGATGATCCTTGATCCTTGAAGTTCAAAGTTAACCAAAAAGTCAAAGTTTGACTTTAGTGTGACAGTTGACTTTTCATCAGTTGATTCCAATTCTTCCATTATCAATCAATTGTATCTTTGAGAATGTATTAAGCCATGTAATTAAGTCAAGATGTTGGTTTTGAGTTCTTTGAACCATGCCTCAAGCCATAAGGTCATGCATTGAGCCAAAAGTCAATGATCCACTTTAATCAAAACCCTAATTTGATCAAGACTTGTATTGGTGGAGATTTCTTGATTCAAAATCCTATTTGACACAAAGAGCAAACACAAGCTATTTTTTTATTTTGTTAGAGATGTAATGATGCATATGAGGTGGTACCTTAGGTCAAAAATTAGGATACAACAAGTACAAGTGTTTATTAACCTGAATATATTTTTGTCTACTCCGTTGAATAGAGCATTTAAAGCTTTGGAATTTCCAATAGATAATTTATCATCCTCTTTAGACCAATCTTCCTCTGGCTTTAAAGGCACTTTCTCATCTTTTCCCTTCTCAACAGGATGATCCCATCCTTTCAAAACAGCCTTCCAAGCTCTGTTGTCTATGGATTTCAGAAAAACCACCATTCTAACTTTCCACCAGTCATAATTTGAACCATCTAATAGAGGTGGTCTGTTGTTGTGTCCTCCTTTCTTGTCCATGGTACCAAAAATATTCTCTCTGGAGTTCACCCAATAAATAGAACAGGGTGCCTGCTCCAATGCCAATTGAAATTCTAGCACTTGCAATACACATGTCAAGACAAATGTTAGAACATTTGTTCCTGATACAACAACTTTCTAAAATAGGAGATTGTGCAGAAAATAAATTACACAAAAAATAAATAACATAATCAATTGTTAAACCAGTTCGGTGCAACATCGCCTACTCCGAGGGTTACCAAGCCAGGAAGGAAATCAACTATGATAGTATTAGTTCAAAGCTAAACCAACCCTAGTTTACAATTTCTTGCCTAATCACTATCTTGTACAATTTCTACCTAGAGACCACTAGATATGAGAACCCCCTCTCACTTACAATCACCGTAGTGATATACCTACAGCCACAAACCTTGTGACTAGACTTAAAGAACCCAAAAGAATATTACACTTCTAATAAACAATACTTAGTTTTGCTTAAAAGCTTCATCTAAGAACAATACTAAACTCTTTGCTTAAAAGATCATGAGTGAGAATAATAGCTTGATAAACAAGCAACAATCAGTCAACTCAATGCATCAAAGATACATGACTGACACACAAAGAACACAAACACTAAAAACCTAAAAGACTCCCAAAACCATAAACCTTAAGTTGCACACCTGATTTATTCTTTGTGAATGCTTGCTATTTTAGATCATAACAAGTCCTTATTTATAGACTCTTGCAGAATGGACTTGGACTCTTCAAATCAAATCCAATTTTTACTTTTTAAATCAGCTGCAAGATCTTCATATAAAAATAGGAACGAAGCTTTTTAAATCTTCCTAAAAAGTCTCCAAGATCCTTTTTAAGAAATCCAATTAAATCTTCACTTTGTTTTTGAATAGTGATGAGATATATTCAAAAGGATCTCATCAAATCAAGTCAAATCTTTCAAGAGATAAACAATAGCAGTGTCTGCTGAAACACATAACAATCAAACAGTTATGACAATTGATGGAGATGTTACAAAATATTGCTCAATATCAGTATAAAACCATGTTTTACCAAAACTTAGTCAATTATAAAACTATGAAACTAACACATGTGTTGATACATGTAAGTTATATATCAACACATGTAATGATATGTGTCAACCTATATGAGGTCATTGTGTCGACACAGAATTACAGAAACTTCAGGCTTTACAACAACAACAACACACGTGTCAACACGAAACACGTATGTGTCGACACATCTAAGGTTTTATAATGACATGTGTCGATCTAAAATGAACAATGTGTCGACACATAGTTGTAGAGCCTACAAGTCTTATTATTAGACACAATGTGTCGACACGTAGAAAGGATGTGTCGACATATGAAACTTACTTTTATGCAAAAATTGATTTTTAGTGTATGATACCTATTGACAACATTTTCAAATATGTTCTAGATGCATTCTAAGATCCCTAATGCAAGGGCTCACACAATGACTTAGAGATACCGTTCGATATATAGAAAAGGTAAATTTATCCTAATTTTAACATCATGCAAAACATCTTTCTAAGAGGCAAATACATTCACAATTAAGAGATCTTAGAGGATGAGCATGTGAGGACGGACCATGTCGTTGATGTGTTACATGTATGTCACCACATTGTGGCTATTTGGAGAGATGTCAGGGGAGAGTTTATGGAGGGCATCTCTTAGATGGCCACTCTACATGCCATCTTATCAGAGATACGACATGTGTTACAATACCGACGATAGAGGAGGAACATGGACGTCCTATATACTCAGTGGTGAGATTTTATTTTGTATATTTTAACATTTTTGTATTATGATTTGTACTTGAATTGATTATGACATGCATGATGACATCATATATATATATATATATATATATATATATATATATATATATATATATATATATATATATATATATATATATATATATATATATATATATATATATATATATATATATATATATATATATATATATATATATATATATATATATATATATATATATATATATATATATATATATATATATATATATATATTAGTTCTTTTATTTTGATCTTATAATTCAAGTTTATTAAAAAAAATGACAAATTTCACCTATTTTATGTCAAAAGATAAATATGGAGATTGAAATCTAGACCTATGATACGAAAACGAGTATTCAGACCAAATTTATGACAAAAATGAGATATCTCGAACATGAAATAATTTTCCTTAAAGAATGAAAACATTTTAAGATTGAAATCTAAAATATTAAAAAAAAAACATTTTAGAGTTTTCATAATATATGTAAACAACATCTAAAATATGTATTATGACGACTCGAACTTAACCATACTGATTGTTTCAAATTAACATAATCTGAATTGTTATGGTTGGATTGTTTTTTTTTTATGTGCCCTAAATTCTAAAATTGATAAAAAAAATATCTTTGAAATTATATTATCGCATTCCTAATAGATTAAACTAGAAATGATTTAGAATTACAGTATCAAAGTTAAAAGATTGGAAATTACATAAATTCGAGTGTCTCATATTTGCAAAGATGATTAATATAATTAAGTTTTTATGATAAATAAATAAATAAATAGGTTTTATAAATGAGATAGAATAAATAAAAATATTTAACTTGAGTTATATTCTTGAGTGAGTTTGATTCATTATAAACAAAAGTTTGGAAAACATAAAGGAAATGACAATGTTATCCCTAGAGAATATATATTGGGGTTTGAGAAAGAGGTTTAAGAACCCAACCCATTCAAACAAAACTCCAATTTCTTCTCCTCCTCCGTCTTTCTCTGCAAAGCAATGGAAGGAGCGTCGTACGCACGCATGCCGAGGGTGAAAATCCGCGAACTAAAAGACGATTACATGAAGTTCGAGCTTCGCGACACCGACGCTAGTGTGGCAAACGCGCTTCGGCGCGTGATGATCTCGGAGGTTCCGACCATCGCGATTGACCTAGTTGAAATCGAGGTCAACTCGTCCGTTCTCAACGACGAGTTCATTGCTCACAGACTCGGTCTTATTCCTCTCACAAGCGAACGCGCGATGGCAATGCGATTCTCACGTGACTGTGATGCTTGTGATGGTGATGGACAGTGTGAGTATTGTTCCGTTGAGTTTCATCTTAGGGTTAAGTGTATGACTGATCAGACACTTGATGTTACTAGCAAGGATCTTTATAGCTCTGATCATACTGTTGTTCCTGTTGATTTCTCTGGTGGGGATCCTTCTTCCGTTGAATCTGCTGATGGCAGGTTCGGTTTCTAACCCTAATTTATAATCATCATTTTTTGACAATGCCTTTTCTTAGATTTCAATTGGGTATTTCTGATTTTTCATTTTGGGTCTTTTAAACCCTTGTTAAGTATTTTGATCTTAAGAGAGTTTTAGTTTTGGGTTTAATTGAAGGATATGTGTGTGTTTAATGTAGGGGGATTATAATTGTCAAGTTGAGGCGAGGTCAGGAGCTGAGGCTGAGGGCAATTGCTAGGAAGGGGATTGGTAAGGATCATGCGAAATGGTCCCCGGCTGCAACTGTTACTTTCATGTATGAACCTGAGATTCATATAAATGAGGATTTGATGGAGTCTTTGTCACTTGAGGAGAAAAAAGAGTGGATTGATAGTAGTCCTACTCGTGTGTTTGATATTGATCCTGTCACACAACAGGTTTGCCTTTTCTCCTATGCATGTTTAACTCATTTCATCAGTAATGCCACATTGCTGTTTCCTGATACTTGTGCTCTTATGTTTTGGCTTTCTAAATACTCACCTGCATGTCTTCTCAGTACTTTAATGCTTGTTTGATCACTTGTGTGTGTGTGTGTGTTTCGTTTTGAAATGCAAAAGGTTTATTAATTCTGAGCAAATTTGTGATTGTATTTATATTTTGCAATCTTGCAATCCCCCTCCAAGTCATAGGTAGGATCTTGAACTAGACAACCTTGGATTAGAGGATAAGAAAAGAATAGAGCTGCATAATGTGACAAAGGGACTCATACGAATGCTTAGCATAAGACATGAAAGTGTGTGATTGAGATCATGTAGTAGGGGACACCGGTGCGGTGCGTAGTGGTTGCTAGAAACACAGAACAATAAATAGTTGGGGCAAACTGGGCTTTACTTTCCATGAACCATTTGTGGTGCAACTAACTGTAAATGAATACTGTTTTGACCACAATCATAATATGATTATGATGAGCATGACCTAAACCTATTCATTGACACAAGTTTGGTAGTGGCCACCAGCTGCAATGCGCCACAACACCATTTTAGTGCCTGATTAAAAATCGTCTGACCTCAGCAAAGGCATAAGTTAAGATATCAATGTTAGCTGGGAAAGAAAAAACAGTGCTAGAATGAATGTGAGGGATTTACCAACTACTATACTTGGCAGGTTCTGAGCTATCTATTTCACAATTATTCTTAAGATTTAAAATAAGTTACTATAAATGTTATTAATATTCATATTTAAAATACTGTTTGTTATGGTTGTTTAGCATGTCCAGTATCATTATCTACAGAGATGTTGATCCTCGTTTTTGCTGAAGCAAGGCCTATATTCTTGAGATTGATATCTGATCAATGCTGACTCTGTCAACTGCTAAGTGTTGGAAATACCCTTTAACTTGTGCGCATTCTTGATAAATAGTTCTTAAAATCCATTATTAAGTTCTCATTGCTCTGTTTGTTACTATGAATCCTTCATTGGTGTATTTATCATACTAAACAACTTGTACCAATTAGGTGTCGGTGGTTGATGCTGAGGCATATAGTTACGACGATGAGGTGATTAAGAAAGCGGAAGCAATGGGAAAGCCCGGTCTTGTAGAAATCACTGCAAAGCAAGATAGCTTCATTTTCACAGTTGAATCTACTGGAGCAGTCAAAGCATCTCAACTATTGCTAAATGCAATTGAAATTGTGAAGCAGAAGCTGGATGCTGTGAGACTGTCCGAAGATACCGTGGAGGCGGACGATCAGTTTGGGGAACTAGGTGCCCACATGAGAGGAGGGTGACTTATTGCATGTTGTTTTTAACTATGTAGTTAAAACTTTTTGAACCAAATATGCTAATTTGCTAAACCTAGAAGCAGTGGTTAGCTTGACTCTTTGAACTAAATATGCACTCACACTCACATGGATGAGATTATTAAAACTCAATTTGGCCAGGATTAAGTTGAAGCTTTGGGTTATGGACGCCACTTGAACTGTTTATATATAATCTTAATCCGATAGATTTTAACTTAAAGCATAAGGGCAACTTCAATAAGTTCATGCTCGATTAGAACATTTTTTGGTGAGTATAATATCTAATAATTTTGTTTTTTTATGCCTAAAAAAATCATCCACAGTATTAGCATTAGATGTAGAGTGACTAGTAGACCATTTAGATTCATTCATAGTTGCATCTTTATTTATTTATTGAATTGTAGATCATTTAGATTCATTCATAGTTGTATCTAGATCAATTAATTAGGTTGTAAGCTGTAGCCTATCGGAGTAAAAAGTTCTTTAAATTGTTTGGTACCGAATGGCTCATAAGAATAAGTGAACTGTATGCCTCAGCGTCTGTTAGGAGGTTCTTAAAGAGTTGTAGTGTTGGAGTAAGAAAAATGTATATAAAACCACCTATTAAAACTATTTCTCATTTAAATTGTAAGGTTTTAGCAGTATAGTCTTTCAAATTTATATTAATTAAGATGCTGGCTATAAATAACTTATAAATTTTCAAAATTATTAGACTTTAGCAATATAGTTCCTTTAAATTTAGGAAATTGCTAATCTCATCTTATGAGGTAACACCTTATAAAAATTCAAAAATGCCCTTTAAATTTTAGAAATGCATTTTTGGATGTGTCTTTTACACCACTTAAACATAATTCATCTGAGACATTTTTTTTTCTTTCAAAAATACGTTTTGGAGACGCATCTCCGAATCAACTTCATCATTTAATTCATAATTGAATTGAAAAAGTTAGTGACTTTTTCGGAGACGCGTCTCCAGAATTATGAAGTGGCAAATTGAAAATGTGTGATCTTTGCAAGTTAGTCTATTTCAAAGATGCATCTCTGAAAACCTCAAACGTTATTTTTTAATGAAACAAAATCTCAAACATCATCAATCTTCATTGCCAACCCCGTATCAAAATCTTTGCAAAAAAACCTAGCATTCTCGATCAACATTTTAGTTCAAAAACTCCATAGTGTGTTTCATAATTTTGAAAGGAGCAAAAGTTTCATCATTTTGAAAGGAGCAAAAGAAGCTGAAATTTAAAATAAAGATCATTTGTTTCTTTCTTCATTGCTCACATTAATCTTGTTTTTTGTTGTCAAAGTTATGCTATTTCCGGAAATGCATCTCTGGAACCCATATGAATTCCTACAGAAATACATTTTTGGAATGTCTCATGTTTTAATTTTTAAATATTGTGTTTTTGTTTGCATTAGTTATGGTGCACCTGGATTGTTTTAAAAACATGTTGTGTCCACGAATTCCAAAAGGGTTGTTATGAAAGAGGTAGATATTTGCATAGAATTTACAACTGGACAAAAATTGAGTTTCGTGAACATATGTTTCAATGGATATGCATGGAGATATCTAAAATGGGGTTTGGTGTTGTAATTGGAAGGTCTGATAAAGGTTTGGATAGAAGAACTGCATTTGTGATAGTGAGATGTTAAAGAAGTGGGACATATATAACTCTTCTCTGGAAATTCAAACGAGATGACACCAGTTTAAAAAAATGTGAGTGTCTTTTTAAGTTGTGTGGTTATTTATTGTCGAATAAAAACTGGAAATTTAATGTCATTTGTGGTTTACACAACCATGACCTGTGTGTCAAGTAAACTACCTCCTTCGCTGCCTCTAGAAAAAAAAATCAAGTTCATAGACAAGATGCCGCTTTTTATGCACAAATACATTGAACGAATCGTCAATGTAGGAAGTGACAGTAACTGTAATTTTTGAGTTGTTTCTGCTTTGTTCGGTAAAGGAAAAGAGGATCATACATTTTTCCGTAAACAAATGATCAAAGAGTTGAAGGGACATAAAGAAACATACACAAGGTTATACAGGTCAAAATAAAATTATGATGAAATTTATGAATCTCTTGTTCCTTGCAACAGTGGACCAACACCACAGGATAAATTAATGTGCTTTTCTAAAATGAGTCATCTTATGTCTGAAAGAGTGTGTATTGATCTTCTAAGATATAATTTTTGGAAGACATTTTTTTCAATGCACACTGTCTCACTTCTAAATTTAAATTATCATATCATGTGTATCGAGTGGCTTTCAAAGTCACGACACTTTGTTCAAGTTTATTTGAAACCGTAATGCTCTATACCACTGACATCACCGGATAGGACATCTCATTCATCCACAAAAACGGAGACATGGTCATATCATTTTTTTGAAAAGGATGCAAGAGTTCATCAAATTGAGCGAGATTTAAAAACTCAAATAAACAAAAGTCAAAAGAGGTGTCTCTCACATATATAGATTTAGCCGGAGACTCTTGTTTCAGTTCATTTTAGTGTTTGTATGTGATATTGTATTAATATTGATGACACAAAATATATACATTTTCAAAGATCCCCGCACATGTTTCAGTTTCTCAAAAAATTTAATATTTTGTCCAAAACAGGTTATGCTTCTCATTGTTCAGTGTTCTTGTAGTGTTGGGTGTTTTCAGAGATGTATCTTCAGACGCATCCAAACTATTTCAATAAAATAAAAATAAGGTGATTTCGAAGATGCATCATCAGAATGTTTTCTGATACATGATAGAAATTATGAGGTTCATGTTGGTCTAAAACTTGTATAAATATGAGCTTCTATTTTATTTTTTTTACACCGTTGCATCAATTGAAATAGCATATATGTCTACTTCAACGCGATGGAGCCATTGATTACATTCAAGTTCACTAAGTATACGCCTCTTGATGATCTGAAATTTATACTGGAAGAACTCATACCTTACGACGACAATTAAAAAATTGTGAAGCTCGAGTACTATTCTCCCTCAACTGACAACAAAGAGAACATTGAGTTCAACAACTTCAAGCTCATGAAAAATGCAGATGTAAGAGGTTTTAACATGTCACCCCCTGGATTATACATGACACCCCCCCACTTTTTTTAGCATTTTACATTTTTACCCTCAAAATTTCTGGAAAACGTGAAAATTTTAAACGAATACCAGAAATTTGGACTTTTTTTTATCGAGAATTTGGTTTAAATCACAAATTTCCCGTAAATTTTTTGATATCTACCAGAAATTTCAAATTTCTGATATTTACCAAAAAAATTCTGAATGTTCAAATTTCCGGTGCATTATCAACATGTGTTTTTTTTTTCAATTGATTTTCTTCACACATAACTGAATCAACAAACATAGTACCTGATTAAACATAAAACTATAATAATTGTCATACATAAAAGGATATAAAACAAATTAAGAGAACTTCCTATTCCTTTTCCCAGTGCTTAAAGCGATCCGCAAATGTTGATTCCCATGCTTTTGCATCATCACCATAATTCTCTCTCCAACGGATAGTGACAGGAGGCAGTGGACAATCGGGTTTAAACTTCATGTGAATTCAATTATTTTTATTGACAAAGTCAATAACAATAATTTTATGTTTGCTCGTATATATATGTGGAGCTAAGGCTAGAGGGAAAAAGGTGACAATAAGTGTCATGACAAGGGAGACAAGTACAACACTGTATCTAGAAGCAATAGGATAACTCATATCAGGAATACTCAACCATTTATCCCCAGTCTCCACACCCATGTGTTCTACTCGTAATGAATTCTGAACTGTAGAAATCGAGTCATAGAACTTGGAAAACAATTGAGGGCGTTGATGAAGTTGAGTGTCTAATTGCGTCTGAATCAAAGTCCACATGTATTCGCCCCATCCAATTTGAGCTGCAAAGCAACGGAATCCACAATTCCCATTATTTTCAATATCAATAATGTCATCAATGTATGGATGTAAGAAAGTAGGAAATTGAGACAAGTATTTATTTCTTGAAGATGCAGGGGACGGTTGAGCTGACGGTTGACGCGACAGATGACATCCATCTGATTTGGTGCATGATGTTCTTGTAGTCTGACTTTGACTCCCTTGTGAGAGATCAGTATATTCCCACTGGCTAGGATCACAATGCACACCACTCTCAGTACCTTTTTTACTCTTCTTTGTTTCCCTCTTTGGCTTGTACTTCACTGGCGGTGGACACATAAAAGTTGTGGATGAATGTATTAGTTCCCGAACTTTTTTTTCCAACACCCTCTGGCCTGCAATATCCAAAGTACTAAAATATGTCTTCAACTCTTCACACTTTGCCTTTAAATCCCATTTTATACCAGTCTCATCCTGACTAACCTCATGATCCTGACTAGTCTCATCTTGGCACGCACACAATAACTCATGTGTGGTTTTAATGAAGCAACCACATTTTTATTTGCATGTACCCACAAATTTTACCCTTTTTAGTTCTTTTCCAATGAGTTGTATACATTGTCTTGAGATAAAACTATGCAACCTTGAATAGAATGAAGTATTATATTGATGCTCAATATTAAAAGACACACTTATTGAACCTAGTTATAGCTTCAACATGGTGTTCACAGTATCCCAACTTCGACATAAATCTCCTCGACTTGTAGTCCACATGTTTTTAAGTCTCCAATGAGCAGATTCAACCCTTAAAACAATAAACAAGAATATATGTTAGATCATGTGTATCAATGTACTAACATTACAAAAAACAAATTCAGTGTACCTGTTTGTTGTTGTGTTTCCTAAGTGAGTGACTCTATTTGTCCAAGCAACAACAAATCTTTCCTTATAAGGAGTCAACCATGTTTAATCACATATTTTACAAATAAAGGAATATCACCACAAACACTTTCAAAGTACTTCAAGTGTACATCAAACTGATATTTTGTATTTGAATACATGATGTTTCCATATATTTATGACATGTTCTTGACTTTATGATTTAA